CCATACATTTATTTTAATTGATGTAAATGTAACTTTTCTCTTTACATATTCAAAACACAAAATCCTCTCACCATACTTAATCCTAGACAGTAGCACATGGTATATATTGTACGACTTTGTCATTTTTTAATGTTGATATGTATTCGCTCATAGCCTACTGTGCGTTTCACACAGACAATACAAGTGAATTTTGAAATGACAAATAGGTTTATGTTTCAAGTTTATTTGCATTAAAAACGTGTTTTTAAACCCTTGTGTTCAAAGTTGATATTTTGTTTCTTAAAAGATTAAATCTTTAAAAACATGCTGTTTGCCATTTTTAAAGTTTGTTGGAAGAAATAAAAATATAGGTCACTGACATGGAGCTTTAGGCCTGCAATGCTTTAAAAAAAAATGTTTGAGTTGTTTCAGTTTCGAAGAGTGAATATGGATGTTAAATTCACAAATTAGTATGAATAATCAGGATCTTGAGCCATGATGTTTTTAAAGTACAGAACAATTCAAAGGTTTTGTAATAGACGCTTAGTACTCTTAATTTATAAAGTAATAATAAATGTGAATAATTGAGCTCATTAGTGGCCTGACTGGCCCTCCTAATTTGATCTAAAACAAGTAAATGATCATTGTGAAGGGGTGTCCATCCCATATCAATAATACACCAAGCTACAGGCTAATGTGAGATTCAGAAATTAGTTTTAAAAATCATATTTTCATGTTATAGTAGGCCTACTTTACATGAACCTGTTTGAAACCTTAATGACCCGATGTGATTAAGTATATCTTAAAACCTTTAACAACTATATTTAGATGTTCCTAAATATCTACATTTATGTATAAATACATGTGTAGCAGTTAGACCAACATTAATAGATTATCTCATTATTACCTATTTTATATGTACTAAAAAATAAAAATAAAGTTTACTAAGCCCCCTTTTTGTTTTAATTTATTAGAATGATTTGTGCTTAAACTCATATACTGTTGTGTCTCAAACGGATGGACTAGATTATTAATTTATTTGCCTAATAGTTGCTTAAAATGCTACAATAACATTTGCAATTCGTTTTTAATCTGCCATGTACGGTATCAATGTCTCTCAGCCACTGTAGTGTCGTGTCAGGTGGGCGTGTCGTGTAGGGGGCGTGTCGTGTATTTGATGCGGCTGCAGCCCTGCAGCTAGACCAAATGGTTTAAATCATGGTTTAAATGCCCAGCATACATGTGCTACCAAGCGATCTTCCTCGACATTGAGAAACGGCCACGGTGTTGTGTTCGTGTGTGTGTGTGCGCGCGCGTGTGCGTGCGTGCTGAGGCCAAACACTGCTCCCAGCTCTGGGAATATTTCAATGACTCAATGATATTTTTATGGAAAGTGGATAATGATCGCGCAGGAGGGATTCCCCCGAACTTTTTCCGCGTATTGCTGACAGGAATGACTCGCTGTGATTGACGGATGAACCATGGGGACGAAGATCAGCTTTTCTTCGTGCTGGCATAGTTTTTTAAAATGTTTTAAAAAGCCGAACCAATCTGAAGCGGATTCAAAGCCTGAGGGAAAGGCTGTCACGGTTTTTGTAAATCCCGCTACTGACAGTGAAGTAGATGCAGACTTTTATTCTAAACGCACCTTACCACCGCTCCCAGCCGGTGGGCCCGGGGGTGCCGGGGACCTGTACATCGCCCTATATGACTACAACGCCCGCACCGAGGAGGACCTGAGCTTCCGCACCGGGGACACGTTGGAGGCTCTGGACAAAAGTGCTGGGGACTGGTGGTTTGCCAAAGCCCTCAACGGGGTCTCGGCGCCCAAAAAGGGATACATCCCGGCGAACTATGTGGCCCCTGTGGAGAGTATCGACGCAGAACCGTGAGTCCACCATATTCAGTTCCTGCTTCCATATTCATTTAGAGTTCTGCAACATAGCGCTCCCCCTCTCTTCAAGCCCAACCAGAGAGTTTCCCAGTTACCTTGTTATCTTCCAACAGAGGTGGAGAAGTACTCACATCTTGAACTTAAGTTAAAGTAAAAGTACTCAGATGTTGTACTTAAGTTAAAGTAGAAGTACTCGGAGTGTAGGAATACTCTGTTACAAGTACAAGTCATGTATTCAAAATGTTACTCAAGTAAAAGTAGAAAAAGTAATAGCATCAAAATCTACTTGAAGTAGCAACAGTAAAAGTAGGCATTGTGCAGAATGGTCAATTTCAGAATAATATATATGATATGTTTTATAATGATTGATCATTAAAGTGTTCTCAAAGCTGGTAAAGGTGCTGCTAGTTTGAATGACTTTGTATACTGCAGGGTAGCTTGTGAATTTACTCCAGGTGGAACTAAAGTCTGATTTAAGAGTTGATTAGATTTCATATCATTAATCCAAATCTGTAAAGTAACTAAAGGTATTAAATAAATGTAGTGGAGTAAAGTACACCATTTAACTCTGATTTATAGTGGGGTAAAAGTACAAAGTAGCATTACATGGAAATATTCAAAGTACAAGTACCTCAAAATTGAACCAGTACTTGAGTACATTTACTTAGTTACTTCCAATGCCTGTGTTCCAACATTGTTTGGAAATCCTACTGACTGACAGAATATAGATCCTCTAAGAGCCATAACTTTGTATTTTGAAACAGATGTACAAGACGGATCAGTTTTATTTGTATAGGTCTTTACTGCTGAATAATGCTACAAAGCAAAGGCTTGGTTGAAACTAGTTATTGATTATCTGTGAGCAGGAAATGTAGGCCTACAGGTTAATCATTTCCTGGCAGTAAGTCTGAAAACACATGCAACAATGCTTTGAAACACCTCGCTGATGTTGTGTTGTTTCATAGCAATGAATTAATCTGTCCTACCAGAAACTTGTTTTGCAGCAGGATTATTTTTGGCTGCAGGTTGCCAGCTCTACGAAAGGCCTCGCTCAGATACAGTTCTGTGAATGCGAACATTTACACACATTGTGTTCACTAACACAACAAAGAAGTAGGCTTTTATCTCCTCTATTTCTGCGTGTAGCTGAACGGTTGGAAATAGTTTGTCACAAAGGTCCAACCCGTGTCTGTGACTCGTTCTCAGTGAAACCTGTTTCTTCCTAGCTGTTTTTCCTGTTTTGTTCTCATGGACAAATGTTCCACATCATTTGTGTCATAGTTAACCTCACAAAAAACCTGAGATAGATGGAGGAGTTCCAATTTGATGTGGGTTGGTGCTTTACATTTAGCCTTTGATGAATGTAACATTGCACATTTCCTAATACATGTCCAAAATGTTTATATTCTGTTTTGGCTCACCTCTGATAAATTTGAGCTTCCAGTTATTTTCATCTGTAGTCTGTAGAGATTTTCAGTTTGATCCGGGGCCGGAACCATCTGTCTGGCAACCTGGGCAAAGAAATAACTTGTGGGGCCCCTTGTTGACCCCCATATGTATGTCTGTCATGATGAAATAATTCAGGGTTAAGTATAATTTTGGATCAATTCTATGTTCTTATTCCATCAAATCATGAAAATACTACAATTATTGGTTAGATTTCTACAGCCTGGCTGGGACTCCTGCTTGTGGTGAATGTGGATTAAGCGCAGTGCCCCCCCATGCAGCTGTGTGGCTCATAGATGAGCCTTTCAAAGAGTGGTGCAGTGATGATGTATTTTTGTAGAACGACACATAAATTGGCATTGCATTTTTGAGTGGGTGAAGGAGACAGTGTTATACAGTGTTTTAGTGCTTAGACAGTTCAGTTTGCAATCAATAAAAGTATTGATAATGCAGTTTACAGCCGTTACATTTGACAAGTTCTGCTTCCTCATACATTGTGATTGCAGATGGTATTTTCCCGACACCAAGCGGCTGGATGCAGAGAAGATTCTGCTGGCAGAGGGGAACCAGCACGGAGCCTTCCTCATCAGGAACTGTGAGAGTCAGAGAGGCGAGCGCTCCCTCTCAGGTGAGAGAAGACTGGGCCTACCCTACTGGTCTCTAAAACAATGTGAACAAATACATATATCTCAAAATGGATTTTCAGTAAGTGAAGTCACTTATAGATAATAACTTAAATGATTTTCCTTTAAAAAAAATAAGGAGATATGAAAAGCCATATGATAAACCCTCTATCAATAAACTGCTACACTATCAGAATAATTATCAACGTATCATAACTTGGGAAGCTGTTTGCTGTAGTAATGGCTGTCTAACGTTCTTAAAGCAAACTGACTTCATTATAATCGCACCATTGTACCATTCTGCTGTGTGCGTACTTCTCTGCCACAAAACACACATTTCCAAATACCCTATCGTTAAGATCTCTTATCATCAATTGACTCAAAGGATTAGTGGTTTCAGGGTCATGAAGTGGAATACATCGAGGTCTGTGCTCCCATAAAGCAGGCTGATAACTTTATCTCCCTCTTTTCTAATCTGTGTTCTCAATCCGGCCTTGCTCTTTCCATTATGGTTGAATTCTTTCCATGTTCATTAATTACAGCCAGTTGATGACCTCATCAGCCCCGGGTTATTTCACAGTGTGTGGGAATACGGTGAAAATGCATTCAACCCATCTTTATTTTACTTATTTAATAGCAAGGCATCCAAGCAACGAATGGTTTTAAATATATTTAAAAATAGTATTGTGTGAACCTCAGAGAACCCCAGTTGACCTTGGAAAGGCTGAATAAAATAATATGAATATGAATGAATAGTTATTGTTCTATTACAACATTTTTAAAAAAAAGATTTTGATCATTAGAATATATTGTCCATGCTTATTTCTTTAGGCAGCAATACATTGACAAAGAAAAACACACTTTTGTAATGTTTGCATTCTAATTCAAGGTTATGAAGAGTCCCTTTTTTCTTCATACTTAAAGAGCAACTTGCAGGTTTTTTTTTTTACTACATTTATGCTTAACCTTGCCTGAAAATTACAATTAAAAATGTTAATGCAGGATTTGATATGTTTTACAAGACATAAGGGCAGGAATTCAGAGGAAAAAGAGCCGTTTTGAGCTCTGCTACTAAAAACTGTTTTTTTTAAACGTCATACGTCAAACGCGTCATATTACGTCACATGGGGGAGCAACTTTCTCGGACTCGTTCTCTGCCCAATCCGCGGTAGTAGTTTGTAGTTGGTTTGAGCGGTTGTGATTTAGTGAGCTGGTATTTTTTCGGTAATTTTACATTGCATTTCACCATTTG